CCCCCCCTCCCTTCTCTCGTTGCAGGTATTCTCATTTTCATAGCTGCTGCCCTTTCCAGGGCACACCTGCCCCCATCTTCCACTCCAGGGTTAAAGACCTGTGTGGGGTCAGTGAGATAGCTCATCAGGTAGAGGTTCTTGCCACCAAAATTTGACAACTCGAGTTTGATCCCCAGAATCCACAAGGTGGAAGGAGAGAACGTACTTCTGCACGTTGTTCTCTGACCTCCAGACGAATACCATTACGTGAATTCTCCTCCCATAAATAAACGCAAACATTTAAATAAACATTAAAAAAGATGTCTGCTCCTGGGCACACTGCACCCAGACACCACCCCTCAAATCTGCCTCTGAACCGCTCAAGAAGTTGCACCCTTCTGCAAGCCCTGCTCCTCTGCCTTTTCCCACCAAGTAGCTGACAGCCAAAGTGAAATAAGTAGTCTGACTGGCAGAATCTAGACAGGGGTCATCACACACCATCCCTGTCCCCACTCACTGTGACTTAGTCCTCACACCAAGGCCACTTCAGCATCCAGGCTGGACTCACACCATCCTCCTGGTCCTGCGCCTCCATATACCGCCCCTTTCCCGAGTTATCTTGGAAGTCTTTATTCTAGGGAGTCTTTATCCACTAAGCTTGAGACTGGCATCTCTTTATAGTTAGCCATTTCTTGCAATTTCCTCTCATAGGGCACAGCAGGTTACCTTGCACGGAGAGCATCAATTTCTTCCATGAGATTTCTCACTCACTCACTGATTTGTTGGAAAACTATTATGTGCCAGAATGACTGAGGGTGTTGGGGGAAACTGCCAGGACCTAATCAAACTCCAAGACCCCACTGACTCTATATTCTTGGGGCCTTCCTGAGGATAGCACACTTCTGTAAACAAATGGCTAGTGGTGTCACTGTTACCTGGGACATAGCACCCAAAGCACTTTTGGCGGAACGAGCTGCAGCCTGAAGACCCTGCTGCTCTGGCTCTGGGGTTTCCAGGCGTTTCCAGGAGGGGCCAGTGCCGAGGTTGAGGCTGACAGCTCTCAGTGGCAGCCTCCTTTGGAACTGTCTGCACAGGGAGCCCAGGGGACCAGTCTCCTGATGGCCCTCAGCAGACCGGGTCACCGTCTTCTCTAGATGTTCCTCTTTTAGGAGTGATCTTCTGTGCATGCTGCCTGTCATCCCCTGCCACTGAGACGCCATGTGCTTGGTCCAGTCTCCTCTGCTGGTTAGTTCCTGGAGAGGTCAAAAGGTCAACAGAATACTCCCTGGCCCTATTTCCCAGGCGTCAGAGACCCTGGGAACTGGGGAAGGGATGAAGTGGAACATATCTGGGTGGGCCTGTTGCGCAATTGTGGATGCCAGAAAGATGACCATGGCGTCATGGTCAGCAGCTGCCTCGACTGTAAGGCGGCAAATTGTCTGACTTCCATCCCAGCCTCCTTCACTAAGGCTCAGCGGAGAGGCACAGAGGTTACCGAGTCTCGGCGCTTATGCAGGACACCATCAGCAAGCGGCTCTTTCACAAATTCGTGCTCCTCTATGGAGCAGACTCTGGCCACCCCGCCAAAGCCTCGAATCCGATAAGGTGCTTTAAATTTCCAGACACCA